CTGGGAAACACAACCAGATACAGTGAAGAAATCTGCCTTTGTGCTTTGCTGCTCTACTGCTGAATATGCATGCCCTGTGTGGTACACATCTCACCACGCTAAAACAGTGGATGTTGTTCTTAATGAGACATGCTGCATTATCACAGGACACCTACACCCTACACCACTGGAGAAATTATACTGTTTAGCTGGTATTGCACCACCTGACATCCACCGAGAAGTAGCAGCCAATAATGAAAGGACCAAGGCAGTGACATCTTCGGCCCATCCTCTGTTCAGATATCAGCCGGCACAACAGTGCTTTCAATCAAGAAATAGTTTTCTACCATCTGCAGAGATACTCGCAGGAACACCTCAGCAAGTGAGAGTCCAAAAGTGGCAGGCTAAAACCTGGAACCTCAAGTCATGGCTGATACCAAATGAGAGACTTCCCCCTGGGCACACAGGAGACTGGGCAACTTTGAAGGAGCTGAACAGACTGTGCTCTGGTACCATGAGATGCAGAGCCAACCTTAAGAAATGGGGCCACAAAGTGGAGTCTGCGACATGCGAATGTGGAGAAGAACAAACCGAGACCACTTACTACAATGCAGCCTGAGCCCTGCTACATGCACAATGGAGGACCTTCTTATAGCAACACCAGAGGCATTCCAAGTGGCCAGCTGCTGGTCAAAGGAAATTTAGTATAATGCCAATTTTTTTAAAAAAAAAAACACTTGTGTTTTTAAAATATATTACAACTGTGCCCTTGGTTCGCATCTGATAAGATAAATATACTTCCCTTTCTACATGTCTCTCCTGCTGCGACATCACATTTCCACTGTTATCGGATCTAATTTTTTTCTTGATGGAGAAAACCTGTTAATGGCCGCAGTATTGCTGCTGTTCAACTTTTGGTTTCTTGGGTGAGGCTTTAATTCTGTTGTGGTTTTGATATTCCAGCAGCCATGTGGTTCGAGTGAGCATGGTTCTTCTCTTTTTCCTCAAGTGGGGTGTAGTCATGCTCCTTTACTCCATTTTCTGGGTTTTATTTGTTGTGGGTAGTATTGCCAGAACATGCTGCAATTATGTAATCACGTCACGGCCCTCCATGTGCAGGAAGTGTTGAATCTGCACAATTATGCAATTGCAACGTTGACTCGATACAGGTTGGAAGGCAGGATAAAGTAAAGCAGGGCAGAAACTGAACATGTGCACTACTAAAGTGGCACTACAAAGTGGCTTTTGGAAAGAAGATATGAAAATGATCATTCCACACTGGTTTGCCTCCATTTAATTAAACAACACAATTGCTGTAAGACCACAAGCTGGTGTGCTAAATCCCTTAATAGTAGTTTGCTGGTCAATAATGGACCATTCTGAATTGCTTTTAAAATCTATGTATATGTTTTTGTTTGTTGTTTGTACCACAAAGGCTTGATGCCCCATGGATTTGCCATGCTTCCCCAAGGATGTCCCCACTGTCCTCTGGCTTAAGACCTCCATGTGATGATGTCCTTCTCTCAGTCTGCCATCCTCGCAGGCAGAGGCAGCCCTAGGTAATTTTCAATGGTAAGCAAACAGTATTTTGCCCCCCCCAAACCAATCACTGATATATATTTTCTGTTCATTGTGGGAGTTCTGTGTGCCATATTTGGTTCAATTCCATCATTGGTGGAGTTCAGAATGCTCTTTGATTGTAGGTGAACTATACATCCCAGTAACTACAACTCGCATATGTCAAGGTCTATTTTCCTCCAAGAGCGCCCCTGGGCAAAATCAACTATACTGCAGGTAGAATCATAGAATCATAGAATCAAAGAGTTGGAAGAGACCTCATGGGCCATCCAGTCCAACCCCCTGCCAAGAAGCAGGAATATTGCATTCAAATCACCCCTGACAGATGGCCATCCAGCCTCTGTTTAAAAGCTTCCAAAGAAGGAGCCTCCCACCACACTCCGGGGCAGAGAGTTCCACTGCTGAACGGCTCTCACAGTCAGGAAGTTCTTCCTCAATGTTCAGATGGAATCTCCTCTCTTGTAGTTTGAAGCCATTGTTCCGCGTCCTAGTCTCCAAGGAAGCAGAAAACAAGCTTGCTCCCTCCTCCCTGTGGCTTCCTCTCACATATTTATACACGGCTATCATATCTCCTCTCAGCCTTCTCTTCTTCAGGCTAAACATGCCCAGTTCCCTAAGCCGCTCCTCATAGGGCTTGTTCTCCAGACCCTTGATCATTTTAGTCGCCCTCCTCTGGACATTCCAGCTTGTCAATATCTCTCTTGAATTGTGGTGCCCAGAATTGGACACAATATTCCAGATGTGGTCTAACCAAAGCAGAATAGAGGGGTAGCATTACTTCCTTAGATCTAGACACTATGCTCCTATTGAGGCAGGCCAAAATCCCATTGGCTTTTTTTGCCGCCACATCACATTGTTGGCTCATGTTTAACTTGTTGTCCACGAGGACTCCAAGATCTTTTTCACACGTACTGCTCTCGAGCCAGGCATTGTCCCCCATTCTGTATCTTTGCATTTCATTTTTTCTGCCCAAGTGGAGTATCTTGCATTTGTCACTTTGGCAGAAAAAATGAAATGCAAAGATACAGAATGGGTGACGCCTGGCTAGAGAGCAGTACGTGCGAAAAAGATCTTGGAGTCCTCGTGGACAACAAGTTAAACATGAGCCAACAATGTGATGTGGCGGCAAAGAGACAGGGCCTTCTCAGTGATGGCCTCTCATCTGTGGAATTCCGTCCCCAGTAAGATTAGATCAGCTCCCTCCCTCCTAGCATTCAGAAAACAACTTAAAACTTGACTATTCAAGCAAGCATTCGGTGAGTGATAGCAATATTGTATTAAAGGACAATATCAGGATTGGTGCAATGTCTAAAATATTCTATGTTTATGTCTGTTTGATGTTTTAATGGTTTTAATCTACAATTATGTTATAATTTAGATATGTTATATATAGAGAGAAAGAGAGGGGGGGGCATTGAATTTTGCCCTTTATTATGTTGTACACTGCTTTGAGTCTCCCCAGGGGTGAGAAAAGAAGAATAGAAATGCAATAAATAAATAAATTAAATACAAGTTACTTATTTTATCAATGAGATCACAGTGAAGTTCCATTTCAAAAGAAATGGTGAGCAGGAAAGATGGTTCATATATATCGAGGGCTTAACATTTTCTTGTCCCTTTTGGTTACTTTCTTAGGATATTTGAAGAAATATAAGGAGGGGACTTCACTTCAAGCTTTATGCCATTACTATTTTAATATGTATTTTTGTAATGGAAAAAAGAGCCAAATAAACCTAACACAAGAAACCAATCATTATTTTATCTTTTGCTTGTTGTTGTTGTTCATTCGTTCAGTCGTTTCCGACTCTTTGTGACTTCATGGACCAGCCCACGCCAGAGCTCCCTGTTGGTCATCACCACCCCCAGCTCCTTCAAGGTCAATCCAGTCACTTCAAGGATGCCATCCATCCATCTTGCCCTTGGTCGGCCCCTCTTCCTTTTTCCTTCAATTTTCTTTTGCTAAGTGACTGATAATCATTTATCCTTTGAGCTTTGTGTCAAGTTACATAGCAAAGTACTGTAACTTTTAAAAAGTAGCTCCCCAAGCTGTGAGTTTATATTTCTCAGCAAGTGGCAAAGGTGTAACAGTGCCATTTCTTGTATCAGGTAGCTTGTAATATAGCAGTAATAATTTTATTGATTAGCCCTTAGGCCATATCACAATACGAAACAGAACAACAAGGCCTGACAAGACCTGATCACACTCCACGTAGAAAGTTAAAATAAGACACTTATAATAATACAGTAAATACATATGATAAGACATGATAAAACTGATAAACTGATCAAGCTGAGTATATACATCATATTTCATTATCACCCCTACAATTTACCCCAAGCTTGTAATATAGTTACTTGTATCAACTTATTTGTAAAGTTTTAGCATAGTTATACACTTGTAGAAGTTCTTTATTTATACATTTATTTTTGACAAGTTGTGTATATATATATATTTATTTACTTCGTTTATATACCACTTTTCTCAGCCCTTAGGCGACTCAAAGCGGTTAACAACAGCAAAATTCAATGCTAAACATCATAAAAACAATTAAGGGGCAGTTAAAACAGTAGCATAATAAACAATTAAGCATCAATATAACAAATCATTAGCGTCTTATCAATTGAATCAAAATCCAATCTCATCATCCGTTATTCCGTGTTCCTATGTTCATTGCACTGCCTAATCAAATGCCTGCTCGAACAACCAGGTCTTCACTTTCCTCCGAAATGCCAATAGGGAGGGGGCCAATCTAATATCTGTAGGAAGGGTGTTCCACAGCCGAGGGGCCACCACTGAGAAGGCCCTGTGTCTCGTCCCCGCCAGGCGTACCTGTGATGCAGGCGGGACTGAGAGCAGGGCCTCCCCAGATGATCTTAATGTCCTAGCTGGTTCATAGGAGGAGATGCGTTCGGACAGGTAAGTTGGATCAGAACCATTTCGCACTTTATAGGCTAATGCCAGCACTTTGAATTGTGCCTGGTAGCAAACCGGCAGCCAGTGGAGCTGGCGCAACAGAGGAGTTGTATGCTCCCTGAGTATATATTTGTGTGTGTTTGTACACACACAACAAACAGTGTAGTTTGACAGTGAGATAACAATGGCATTTAATTTCAAAAGTAATGTAACAAGTATAACCAAAATGATAGGTGGAGGGAGGAAACTAATAATGTTCAAAGACATGCTGGAAACAAGACAGTGGATTCCTGATGAGGAAGACTGTACACCTTCAAATGGAAATTTTGTTAGAGCATATATATATATATATATATATATATATATATCTATATATCTATATATCTATATATCTATATATATCATGTCAGGAGCGACTTCAGAAACCGCAAACATATATAATATAATGTCAATGGCTTCAAATAGACACATGCTTTCTGAAACTTGTTTTCTGTGCAATCGAGACAGCAGATGATCATGATGGTTTTGGTTCTTGATAGCCGCTCCTTCCCAGATCAAATGGCACCAATAAATCTATAATAACCCCCCATAGTTTGCTGGTTGCATTCATGTGACACAGTTCAGCTCTCAGGACTGAGAAGGAGAGATAAAAAGAGAGAAACAGAATCTATTTGAAAAATCATATACTGATTTTTTTTAAAATAGTCAGCTTGGAAGTTCAATCGAAACAGTGGCTTCATGTGATGGTGCAGCACTATAAATTCTATATAGAAATTATTTACATTCTTAATGTGCCTTTATGTAAAACAAGTTCCTGATCCACTTTTGGCTGATGGTTAGGTTATGTTAATCAGCTTCTTCATTACCTTAAAAAAACTTAATTACTAGCTAGACTTTTCTATCTACACTGATGATTTAATTCAAAGCTAGCTTCAAACTGTGGTGGCCAGGTAACAAAAACATGGGAAAGGCCCTAATGCACATCAGTGGTCTGCGGTTTGTGTCATCACTATCCAGGCCTCAAACTGGATATCCTATATCACTATTGACACAGTGAAACCACTTTCTTTAAGTGGCTTTGGCTTAGCACAGTGGGTTAAACCACCAGACTGCAGAAAATCTTGCCAACTGAAATGTTGGCAGTTCAAGCCCGGGTCGGAGTGAGCTCCTTCCATAAGCCCCAGCTTCTGCTCACCTGGCAGATTGAAAACACCAATGTGAGTAGATAAATAGATACCGCTTTAAGCAGGGAGGTAATAAAAGGTGTCCATAAGGACATGCTCAATTGGGAGAACGTCAATGGACAACGTAGCTCCTCAGCATGGAAGATGGATCGACAGCACTTCCCCTTGGCCGAAGTTGACCACAGTCTCCAGATGTCGGAGATGAAAAAAGATGGGAAAGCCTTCACCTCTGTTTATATATAGCATGTTCTTGTTAATTCTATGACAGCACTGAATGTTTGCCGTATATGTGTTCTGTAATCCACCGTGAGTCCCCTCGGGGAGATAGAGAGGAATATAAATGAAGTATATTATTATTCAACATTGGTTTGAAACTGCATTAAATGGTCCTTGTAGATGTGTCCTCAGCAGTCTTACTGGATACAGATCAATTACATATCCAAAACTCTAGGTTCTGAATCCTTAAGTGCAATACTGAATAATGTACAAAAGATCATCATTACAACTAAACTATTGACAACATTTGAAAAATCTGCAGCTCCTCATAAAAAGGGGAACAATAGGAACAGGAACAATCTGTCTTCTCTGAAAGAGGAATGGTGATGTATCCACTCTTCGATTCACTGGCACATTTAGAAAACCCTTTGAAATATACAATCTGCCTCTTACATTTGTGAATTGGATAATTCATAGGAACTGAAAACATGGCTCTTTAGGTTGGTTTTTGAAAATGACCAAGACATTAGCTAGTCTAGAAGACCAAGTACATTGATATTGACACTGGCACTTTAATGTACGAAATTCAGATGGGTTGGTATGTTGTACTATCGATTTTACTAGTTGGCATTGTTGTGTTTTTATTGATTATTCTCTTTAAATTGAGGCTATGCCTTTTATTTCTGTAATGTGTTAATTGATGTTGTTATTGCTGAACATTTTGATGAAATTTTACCTGTATTTTATGTGAACTATGACACTACTATGTGCTTTTTGTAAGCTGCCCCAGGTCCTTTTGGGAAATGGTGGTGGGATACAAATAAAGTTGTTGTTGTTGTCATTGTTATTATATTAGGAATAATCTAATATTAGGAAGAACTTCCTGATTGTGAGAGCTGTTCAGCAGTGGAACTCTCTGACCCAAGAATGTGGTGGAGGCTCCTTCTTTGGAGGGTTTTAAGCAGAGGCTGGATGGCCATCTGTTGAGGGTGCTTTGAATGTGATTTTTCTGCTTCTTGGTAGGAAGTGGGACTGGATGGCCCATGAGGTCTCTTCCAATGGTATGATTCTATGATATTATTATTATTATTATTATTATTATTATTATTATTATTGAAATGTTCTCTCTATGCACCACTAAGTCTTGTAGTACAACTATAGACTTGGGATGGAGGTCTGGAGATTCCTATAGATGTGTTCTCTCAAGTTAAAAAAAATTAGCTGCTTCTTAATTTGCATTTATCCCACTTTTGTTTTGTGTCCCAACTCCAGCAAATGTGGAGAGATGACTATACATGTGGACTATACTACTTAGCACACTCTAACTAATGAAACTAAAAACCTAATGACTAAAACAGCTAATTTTTTGGGATGGGTGATATTCCCAGTGTCTTGACACTGCAGAAGGACCAAATGAGTGATTTTTAAAAGCATACTTTGTAAAAATCTAGTTACCACCTTTATTGAGCTGCAAAGAACAATGAACAATGTCTTGAGTCAGGAGAAAATATACTGTATATACTCAAGTATAAACCTAGTTTTCCAGCTTTTTTTAGGCTGAAAAAGTCCCCTTGGCTCATAAGGTTATTTATCATTTTACTCTATTATTATTATTATTATTATTATTATTATTACATTTATAATTTTACTCTATTAGTATTATTACATTTATTATTTTACTCTATTATAACTCTTATTATTACATTTCCATCATTTTACTCTATTATTATTATTATTATTATTATTACATTTATTATCTTATTCTCTTTATTATTATTGCAAGGATACGTAAGCACATTGACATTGAAGAAGGTGAGAGTAATGGTTTCATCAGAGTTGGACAAATTTATCTTAAATTACAGTTTTATGTAAATATTCAAAAACATTGAACCTACCGATGCCTCAATTAATGCTATTTTATTCGTATCTATTTTCATTTTGAAATTGACCAGCCGCTGCTGCATTTCCCACCCTCAGCTTATACTTGAGTCAATACGTTTTCCCACCTAAAATTAGGTGCCTTGGCTTATATTCGGGCTGGCTTATACTCAGGCAAGTATATACGGTACTTTTTTTCTAAGTTGCATAACTCACCTGGCTGCTGTTGGGAGAGTTGTATTATAATCCACAGTGAATGCTTCTGCGTTCCCTCGCCCATCAATGATCAGGACATCTACCCAAGGAGCACAGCAGGTCGACCTACAACAGTGGAGGAAGCACAAGCGAGATATAAACTGGACAGTTGGAGAAAGAAAGCTAAGGACATGAAATCTACTGGAAATAAAATTCTAATAGCGGAATCCATATACACATGTTGTTCAGTCTCTTGAAAGAGATGGATTTCTTTTAGATGGATATTGTGTATTGTATGTAGCCCATATTTGCGGGCTTGACTTTTGTTGATCTAATGTTTCATGGATTTGATTAAAAAACTAATTCTGGGAATTTCTTGGCCCTCCAGTGCACCTTTATGGTCCACTTCTGCTTGTAAGTTGACCATAGGATCACACTAGAGGGCTTAGAGTTTCCCAGAGAAAACACTTTTCCAACAGAAATTGACCACAGAATCATGCTTGAGGGATTTAGAGATTCATAGACAAGTGTTCTCTTAGGTTTAAAAAAAAAATTGGCAGATTTTTTTTTGCTGTAGTCCTATGCCTTTAACCTCCAAGGCCGGGCTTTAGCACAGCAGATTAACTTTCAGCGGCAGTAAATCTTGTCAACTGAAAGGTTGACAGTTCAAAGGATACCCTATTCCACCAGATACACTATTCCATTTATCTATTTCTCCCAGGGTTACATGATTTTATTCCTGTATTTGACCCAGCCCACTGTGTTCAACTCTTTGTTTTTAATTTTTTAAAATTTTATTTCATATCTTGTTTTTCCCCTATTTTATTACTTTTTATTGTTTGTATTTTATTTGAGTTATTACCTGTTGTATGTATTTTATTTTGCTTTATTGTAATTGTTAGGCTTGGTCTCATGCTAGCCAGCCCAAGTCCCCGTGGGGAGATGTTTTTTTTTTTTGTTGTGTCAGGAGTGACTTGAGAAACTGCAATTCTATCAAGGAGGAAGTTTACAAACAAAGCTCTTTGGCAGGGAAAGTGGAGTGACAGCACACACACATACCACCCCCGTGGCCGGAACCAAGCACAGTCTCCAAGATGCCAAAGATGGAAAAGCCTACATATACCTCTATCTATGTACAGTTGTCTGTCTTGTTAGTGTATAATGGCATTGAATGTTTGCCTTATATGTGATCTGCTCTGAGTCCCCTTCAAGGTGAGAAGGACAGAATATAAATGCTGTAAATAAATAAATAAATAAATGTAATAGATAGTGATATTTTTAAATGAATCTTTCTAGAGCATAAATCAGTTTTTTAAAAGATACTAATATGCTTACTGTATGTAAAATGGTGTCTGTGATGCATATAGTTATATAGACATATGCATCTACTATAGATTTGGGCAGTTTGGCTGTAGTAAGGAGTCCATCCAGCCCTTGTTCACTAAATGATTCATTTCAATGGTTCTAGGCATGTCTCCATGTTACAGTAAGCCATTGTTTGTCTTAGCCATTTTATTTATTGCTAAAGCCATGAAAGGCATGACAGGCAATCAAATAAATTATAGCTTATGCTCTTCATTATCATTTTCCCCCTATTTACCCTATTTTTTGAAATTATGTACATTGGCAGATAGCGGAGGAAAATGCCAGGGATAAATCATGATTGTATGAATGGATGTTACAAGAAACTATGGCTTAAACAACTCTGAATGTGAAAATGAACAACAAGCCATAGGTTGGCTTTGTAGCCTTAAGAAACCATGGTTTGTTAGCAGAAACCTGCTTATATACCACAATAAATAAGACTATATCAACAAACCAGATCATGGCTTGTTGTAGTACGTGGCTGGATCCACACTGCCATCTAATGCAGTTTCAGAATGCAGATTAACAGCATTGAAGTGGATTATATGAGTCTACACTGCCATATAATCCAGTTCAACACAGTTAATCTGCATTCCGAAACTATATTAGATAGAAGTGTAGACCCAGTCTGTGAATGCAGTTATTACTCCAGCTATTCATCCCATACTGTCAGTTGATTCTCAAAAGCATAGAGGTACGAACTTATAGTCGCAGATGACATCCTTGTCGCCGTCAGTCCCTGCTGAATGGCAAGACACACCAGTGGGATTTGGGTTGACTTTAACATTGACATCACTGTGATCATCCTTAACAGAAAAGGTCATGCGCCAAATTTGCCGAAAGCACTCTGGTTGGTCCTGGCTGTCTTCTGCACATGGCATCTTGAGCTGTGTTAGGGTGTAGCCTGGTGGAGTTATGTCAGTTTCCTGCAGGATGCAACAAATTGGTCAGTAGAACCAAACACATGAGTGGTTTAATAATAATAATAATAATAATAATAATAATAATAATAATAATCTTTATTTGTACCCCGCCACCATCTCCCCCAACGAGGACTCGGTGCGGCTTACATGAGGCCAAGCCCAAACAACAAATTACAATAAAATAAAATATAAATTACAATAATTGAAAAAAAATCCTTTAAGAAAAGTGCTAAAACATTTATTTTATATTTATGCTTGTCAACTGCTGTTTCCATTTATGGGTACTTCATGAATGAGAGACCTCCAAGTCCACATCATCAACAGCCTGGCTTTCGTCCTGCAAACTCAGGGCTTCCTTCATTGAGTCTACTGAGTCCATCTGGGAAGTCGCTCCTGTCGCTATCAGCCAGCACGCCAACGACTTCAATCAAGAAATGGTTTTCTAAGTTCTACAGAGACACTTGTTGAACACCTCAGCAAGCGAGAGCCCAAAAGTGGCAGGCTCAAACCCAGAACCTCAATCAGTGGCTGATACCAAATGAGAGACTCCTTCCTGGGCACACAGAAAACTGGGCGACTTGGAAGGCGCTGAACAGACTTCGCTCTGACACCACAAGATGCAGAGTCAACCCTAAGAAATGGGGCCACAAAGTGGAGCCCATGACATGCGAGTGTGGAGAAGAGCAAACCACAGACCACCTATTACAATGCAGTCTGGGCCCTGCCCTGTGCACAATGGAGGACCTTCTTATAGCAACACCAGAGGCACTCCAAGTGGCCAGCTACTGGTCAAAGGACATTTAGTATAATGCTGAATTTTTAACTCCTTTGTGTTTTTAAATACATTAAAACTGTACCCTCAATTCACTTCTGACACAATAAAAAATAAACAATGGGAAACTCTTCTGAATAAATCTTGTAAGGAAAACTCTTTGATAGCTTCACCTTAGGGTCAGCTGAGGCCAGAATCAACGTAAAGTCACACAACAACAATAGAACAAGGAAACCAACAATTTGCAGCAGCTGTGAATAGGTAACAAGAAGTCAGACTCACCATGGCTGTCTCAGTGATCACAGCAATGGGCAACTTCAGGTAGTTCTGGGCCGTAAAGCTCTCAGCTGTGAAAGTTGCAATGCTGGAAGAAGGTTCAAAGTTTATTCTGAATAGTGTGTGTTCTCAAATGTGTTTCCCCCCTGTAACCTTAACCCTAGCCAATGAGGAAGGTTAACTACATTTGTCATTTATAAAGATGGTGGAGTTGGAATCAGAGTTGGACAATGGAAAAAGAGAGATTGCAATCAAAGCCTTGGCTTACTGACTATCTGTTGCACCCCAGGCCTGAAGCCACCAATACCATAGCATCAAACAAGTGTACAGAGTAGAAGCAAACAGTCTATTGCAAAAACACACGAAAGATATATGGTAAAAAAGCAGGAATAATGAAATAAGGTGCAGAATCCAAAAAGCCAGCAATCAATTGTCTCTTATAAACTGAAGAACAATACAGTCCAAACATAGCCCCAAAATACAAAGGCAGCTTAAGTCCATAAGCTAAACTTGAACAAGAATACAAAACAAGAACATGGAGAACTCCCAGAATATTAAAATCCAAAACTAAGACTTGCATGTAAGAACTAGAGAACCCAGACCTAGCTGTACTTGAAAGCCATGTTGCCTGAACTGAAAGCAAAATGCCCAGTAGCTCCTAAGAAACAGACATGAAAGTGTTATGTCTACCCTGGAATTTCTGCTTCCCATGAAGCCGTGTTAATCTACAAAGCTCACTATCTGCTCTAATATGCTCTAATATACCATGCACCTGTGGACAAGTCTACATAGGGACCACCAAACGCAGCATTGCCCAAACACGAATCAAGAAACATGAAAGGCACTACAGACTACTTCAACCAGAGAAGTCAGCCATAGCAGAGCACCTGATGAACCAACCTGGACACAGCATAGTATTGGAGAACACAGAAATGCTGGACCACTCTCACAACCACCATGTCAGACTACACAGAGAAGCCATTGAAATCCACAAGCATGTGGACAATTTCAACAGAAAGGAGGAAACCATGAAAATGAACAAAATCTGGCTACCAGTATTAAAAAAAACTCTAAAATTACAACAGCAAAACAACAAAGAGGGAACAATCTGGGACATCTAATTACCTCTCAACAAAAGATTTCCCCAGGCACTGCCAGGCCATCAAATGCTAATCAAGGTGGTCAGTTGAAACATTCACACCTAGCTCCAGCAGACAAGAGTTCTTTGTCCCACCCTGGTCATTCCACAGATATATAAACCCTTTTTCCTAGTTCCAACAGATCACTACCTCTGAGGATGCTTGCCATAGATGCAGATGAAACATCAGGAGAGAATGCCTCTAGAACATGGTCATATAGCCTTAAAAAACCTACAACAACCCAGTGATTCCGGCCATGAAAACCTTCGACAATACATGCTGCCTTGCTTAGGTCAGTATTGTCATGTGAAGAGTTTCTCATCAATTGTTCTTTGCTAGACTCCTGATCTAGAGAGGATGAATCCAACTCCTGTGAGTGGCCTTGAGATTCAGAAGCAATTACATCCTTAGACCCTGCATCTGAATGAATCCCGGGAAAGCCCACAATCCCGTCTGATTCTAAGTTATCAGTGAACCCATTGGCCCCTGGCTGCTGAACTGTAACACTATCTCCAGTACACCACCACCTTCATCATCCCAGTTTGTCCATTTTGCAGCTTTACCATAATGCCTTACAGAAAAGCTCAATCATTAATGCCTTATTGCCACTGATACATTTTTTATTAAATTTACCAAATTTCATTTCATGCACAAAGGATCTGTAAGATGGTGGTACCATCACCACTGCCATCCTGCCAAGGTGAACATATGAAGCCTCTTTTCCAGGGCATTTTGCACCTATCAGAACCACTCCTAGTCTTGAGACTTTTGCCCCCCCCCCCCCCCAAACAGGCATTCATAACACATTCTGCTCTCTAACCAAATTGCTATTCCGGTCCCAGAGCACCCAGCAGTCTTGAGCTTCAACAGGAGTCCTTCTTACCTGGAGACAAACTTGTTCTGTCCTACAGGTGCTTCGAAGGTTGCAGTGAGGGTGATATTCTGCCCTGTCCTTAGAAAACTGCTTTTTGGTGAGAAGCTTCTCAGGAAACTACGGTCATCCCAGACCTTGAAAGAGAATGAGGCTGGTGTCCCATCATTCACCACCACGACAGAGAGCGTCAGGATCTCACCAGGTGACATTGTGCCTGCAAGGAACAGAGAAATGTGTCCACAAGATGGTATCAAGGTTGATGTGGGCAGATTTGGTGGGTCTGGGGACTAGTGTTCACCCCAGTCACCACCTCAGGTTGCACCTAGGATTCCATAGGATTCATCCATGGTCCCTTCCTAGAACTAGAAGACCTAAAGATGGTAGTGCACATGCTAGTCACCTCATGGTTTGACTTCAGCAATGCACTGTACATTGGATTACCTTTGTACCGAGTCCAGAAACTCCAGTACTATGATGCTGGAGACCAGGATCCAAATCTCAACTTGCCCATGGAAACACACTGGGTGATCTTGGGTAAATCACACTCTCTTATGAGACTAAGAGAGTGTGATTTACAAGCCAGATTGTTCAAATGAACATCTGGGAGGGAGCATATTACATCTTTACTGAAATCACTTCACTAGCTCTGTATTTGTTTCCAGTACAAAGTACTAAGCGTTGGTTATTATCTTTGAAGCCCTACATGGCTTGAGTCCAGGTTACCTATAGGATTGCTTCCTTTCATATATTCCAGCCCATACACTCAGATCCTCTGAGGGACCTGTCGTATTTCAACCATCCAGAACCCAGTTGACAACTGTCACCCAGAGGAGTTTTTCAATTGTTTGCCTTTGCCAGAGAGAGCTGACAACTAAATGAGATGTCAAAATTAAAGACACAACAAAGGACTTATTCCTTTTGGCAGGTCTTCCCACACAATTTAAACAATCAGTATTAACTTTGCATTTCATTACTATTGACATTTAAATCTTTGTCCTTTGTGTTAAAATATATACTCAAGGCGGTGTACAGCACAGGCAATAATTCAATGGCTTAAACAATTCAACAATTAAATAAACATTCAATTAAAATCTAAACCAAGTTAAAAGCAATCAAAACATAAACATTACGACTTACAGCTATAAAATCACATTATCCACAATGAAGGTCAGTTCATTCCAGTGATCGTTACACATAGATCCAAACCCATCTATTTCACCGCATTCGTTACCAAAGGCTTGATCCCAAAACCATGTTTTCACCTTTTTTTGAAGGTCAGGAGGGAAGGGGCTGATCTAATATTGCCGGGAAGGGAGTTCCACAGCCAAGAAGCCACTACTGAAAAGGAACAGTCTCTTGTTCCCATCAAAACTGTCTGCAAAGGAGGTGGGACTGAGAGCAGGGGCTCTCTAGATGATCCCAATCTCTGAGATGATTCATAAGGGGAGATAAATTCGGACAGGTAAGCTGGGCCAGAACCATTTAGGGCTTTATAGGCTAAAGCCAGCACTGGTATTATGTTTTATCTGTGTGTTTAACTATGTTGTATCCTGCCTCGAGCTGTGATAAGAGTTGAGTAATAAAAAAAATCGTAATAATGATAGTGACAATGATTTATATGGTACCAAAGTGTTGTACGTCATTATTCCTGTTCACTGTTGTCATGGCTACTCCGCATCTGTATGCTTGTCCGCAGGCATGTAGCTGGGGGGGGGGGGATTTCTTTAGCCCCCCCCCCCCGAAATTCTCATGGTGGTCTGCGGAAAGGCCTTACTGGTACATTATTTAAACTGTTAAGTTTATTCATATCATGATCTGATCACCATGCTCAATATATCCCATATGCATTGGGGTAACGATACAAAAGGTTTGCTAGGGTAGATCCTCTTTCACTTAGACTGCTTGTCCACAGTGTCCTGTCTCATGTACAGAGGAAGAACTGTTGGGTAAAGGTAAGGGTAGTCCCCTGACATTAAGTCCAGTCATGTCTGACTCTGGGGTGTGGTGCTCATCTCCAGTTTCTAAGCCGAAGAGCCAGCGTTGTCCGTAGACACCTCCAAGGTCATGTGGCCGGCATGACTGCATGGAGCGCCGTTACCTTCCCCGGAGCGGTACCTATTGATCTACTCACATTTGCATGTTTTCGAACTGCTAGGTTGGCAGAAGCTAGGGCTGACAGCGGAAGCTTCACGCCGCTCCCCGGAATCGAACCTGTGACCTTTCGATCAACAAGCTCAGCAGTTCAGTGCTTTAACCCACTGCGCCACCGGGGGCTCCTGATGTGTGTAGATCAATGTGTGTAGTTTGCCCATTTTTGGTTAAAAGATATTTAGAAGCTTTTGCTCCTTCTATTTTTATCAGTTTTATACTAATTTATGCAATGCTTTTGATACGAAATAAAAATAAATGTCGACTTCAACTTATGGAAACCCCCAGAATTAGTGACATCTAAGCCACACTATCATCATCAGCTCTGCTCAGATCTTGCCATGGTTTTCTTGACTACATCTATCCATCTTTCCCTTTTTTCTCTCACTGCCATCCACCTTGCCAAGCTTTGTTGTCTTTTCTAGTGAGCTCTGGCTTCTCGTGATAATTGCCACAGTACAGCAATCTCAGTTTAGCGATCTTCTCTTGTTGGGATAGTTCAGGCTTGATTTACTTTACGACCTATTTATTTGTCTTTTTAGCTGTGCGCTGGATCCAAAGTGCTTTCATTATTTGGTACTGAAAATATTATTTGGGGACGGCGTGCTTCTGTCGACACAGTAGCAGTTGTTATCCTAAATACATATTACTGTAGGGGACATGAGGTTTTGGTTTTTATTCCAGCAATTAAATACCTCATTAAACAGTTTATAAAGTCAGTGATTATGCAAAGCCTTGCTCATATTCCCAATATACCCCATCTAGCACTAAAACTAAACACTAACCCTCCCACTCCCCCATAAACTCTTTAACTATAAATGTCATCATAGAATAATTTTAAAAGATAAATAACAACTACAATTGGACTTCCCAAAGCCGTATGATATTTATCGTATCGGAAGCAAACTGAGAGTATAGTTGTAATGTATTTTAAAAACACAAAGTTTTCTTTTTAAAAAACTGGGCATTATATTAAATGTCCTTTGACTAGTAGCTGGCCACTTGGAGTGCCTCTGGTGTTGCTATAAGAAGGTCCTCCATTGTGCATGTGGCAGGGTTCAGGCTGCATTGTAATAGGTGGTCTGTGGTTTGCTCTTTTCCACACTTGCATGTTGTGGATTCCACTTTGTGGCCCCATTTCTTAAGGTTGGCTCTGCATCTTATGGTGCCAGAGCAGTCTGTTGAGTGCCTTCCAAGTCACCCAGTGTTCTATGTACCCAGGGTGGATTCTCTCATTCAATATCAGCCATGGCTTGAGGTTCTGGGTTTTAGCCTGCCACTTTTGAACTCTTGATTGCTGAGGTGTTCCTGTGAGTATCTCTGTAGAGCTTAGAAAATTATTTCTTGATTTAAGGCATTGGCCTGCTGGCTGATATCTGAACAGGGGATGGGCCAGAGATGTCATTGCCTTTCATTATTGGCTTTACTTCCTGGCAGATTTCAGGTGGTGCAATACCAGCTAAACAGTATAATTTTTCCAGTGGTGTAGGGCGTAGTCATCTTGTGATAATGCAGCATGTCTCATTAAGAGCCATATCCACTGTTTCAACGTGGTGAGATGTGTTCCACACTGGGCATGCATTCTCAGCAGCCCAGGGCAGATGTCTTCACTGTGTCTGGTTGTGATCCCCATGTTGTGCCAGTCAGCTTTCGTATGATATTGTTTCTAGCACCCAGAAGTGACCAGAAGCCATATGATGAAAATATGGTTATCATCCTGCTTATTCTTTATCTTAAAACCATCTCTATTTCAACCTTGCAATCTAATTATATATATTGGTACTTAATTTTCAAAACCTCCAAGCACTTTTACATTTTATGAATAGAACAAATGGTTTTTTAAGAAAAGTGTTTCGGACTTCTTTCATCAGACATTTCTGGCAATTCCAGAATTCTTGTAATCCAGATTTCATATAATGTAATAATAACTTAGAATTCCAATTGTTTTTTGAGTGGAAGTCCCATTAAAAATAAAGATCTCATTGTGCTTTGGTTTTTAAAATATCTTCTATTGGACTTTCTATCTGTCTCCAGTTTCCTTTATCACATGTCCATCCAAATGATGAAAAGGATCTTGATGTATTTCACATTTTCATCATAGCTTTTTAGCATCTTTGACAATTTAGCTGGGGTCAAGTCTTATTGGTACGTCCTTTTGTCCAAATTCTCTTGAAAGGCAAAAGCAAGGGACAGGAGGTGCCAGTGGTATATGTGGCGTTGTTGAGGATGGTTATTGCAGCGGAACTACAAATAAGGTCGTACTGGCATATTCTACCACATAAGGGATACTCACCTTTTTGGCCTGGTAAGGGCAAGACTTCCACAGACTCTGTGCGGATGGGGGTACTGCTAACTCTGGAAAAAGGATGGTTATTTGGAGACAGGCCTTCCACCTTCAGCAGAGACATCTGAAAAGGAAAGGAGAAGCTTTGGTAATGAGGACCTTATTTTAGGCTGAGATCACTTTTGTCAGTTTTCAGAGACTCTCTCGAATGCTTTGACACCAAGCAGGAGAAACTGTGATTATTACTGCACATTTAATTTTATGGCTCACATTAGCCCTATCTATCTATCATCTATCTATCTATCTATCTATCTATCTATCTATCTATCTATCTATC